TCCAACACCAACAATGGCTTCCTGCAACCACTGGCCTTGTGCAGAGCTCAAGTGGTGGCTCACATGACAGAAATATTATACTAACAATCTTTTTCACATATATACATGTTTTCTTTACTATTACAAAACCCTTAGGACTCCTCACAATCACAAGATTCAAAACAGCATTCTGCTCATGGGCCATTTGTAATAGCACACTAATAAATAAAATATAAATAACAATTTAATATATTCATAGCCATAAAGAATTTTAATGTACCTTTCAAGAAGTTATAAGAAAGGAAATGATTCTGTTTCATTAGTAATTCTTAATTAATTCTTAAAATAAAACAAGCTAGATGTGATTATCATTAAAAATTTGTATTTAGCTTTTACTTTTTATCAAGATTTAGGATTTTAAAATAATCCCTTTTGGGTGGAGATATAGAACATTACTTTAAGTTTTCTGTAACTTCAAGTATGATTTTATGTTTAAAAAAAGAACCAAGGATTCGTTCAGCAGAGTATGTCCCTCACTGCTGAAGTATTAGCTATACCGATCAGTTCTTGGGGAGGGGAATAATTGTCTCCAGTGGTACCCACCAGCGAATCCACCAGGATCCAACGGATGCTACCAATCCAATGGTCAAACAGATGGCCTCGTTTAAACTCAATACAAGTCTGAGAGAGGGGCTGGTAGGAATGGAGGTTATTGATAGAGGTGAGAGGGAAATGTGTGAAGAGAGAGACTAATCAGAACACATTGTGTTCATGTACACAATTGTGAAAGCAGCAAAATTAATATATTTTAAGACTACCTCTTAGTTACTCATAATTAGAAATAATTTATCAGTAAAAACGTTAACTAAACCAATGTCATTAAGAACTCCCTGGCCTGCTCTAAAATGAAACTTAAAATAATATTTTTATAGACAATCAATAAAATAACTAACAAAAAGCGAAATGAGACAGGCTAGTGAGTAAAATGGGTTACAGTGGAAATCTAAGGTGGCTAAAATGACGTTGGGCTAAATTCAGTGATCTTAGCAGTCCATTCCGAGTGGTCTTACTGCCCCCCAGGAGGGGAAAGGGTTGAAAAACAATGTACCAAATAAGCTGGAAAAGGAAATCACAATATATCATTCATATATACATGTGTATATATATATATATATATATATGAAATTATTTTAAAAGCTACGTATTTTTATTTTTAAAATTATCTATAGTTAGTTGACAGCTCTGCATGCTGGGGAGAAGCTCAGAGCCTTGCCATTGTGAAGGTTGTGGACACTGATGTTATGGGGTCACTTGAATATGTAAAGGAGTTTCAGCCCGGATGTTACTATTAAAGACTACAGCTCTAAATTGTAGAGAACTTTGGCATCCTCAGAAAATGTGCATTAGTACAGTTGGCACAATTGAAGAAGTCGTGAAACTGGTGATGTTTTTACCCATAAGAAAAGGATAGATAACATTGTCACTTGTGTGTAAAGTTTTGGACAGCTACATAATACAGATTTAAATCAAAAATGACAGATGCACTGACTTGAAACATAATGGCTGCTGAAGTGAACCTGTATGCCTTTTAGGTTAACTATTGAGTGACTTAGGAATTGCTTTCAGGTGCAGAAAGCGTGTCAAGCTGTTGGTCAATGCTACAGCAGGAAATAGTGTTTATTGCTCAGTACTCCCTGAGGATGGTTCGTTTTCCTACAGGGAAACCTTAGCCTAGTGGTGATCACAGCTTGACTTTTAAGTTGATATTCCCTGATTCCAGACTTGACCTTGTTGAATTTGCAAGCATAGGGAATGTTCCATAGGCCAGTGTGAAATAATTAGCTATGATTTTGTAAAAGAAAATGTAATTTACCTTTAAGTTGTATGTTTAATATTTTTCCTGAAAACCTAGAAACACATTAAGTGCAAAGAAAAACCAAAACGGGATTGCTAGTGATCTATATAGCAGATGGTGGAACTCTATATGAAAGAGGAATCGTTGTAGCAATTGAGTGTTTTCCAAAGTAGATAATGAGATACATCGACTGACTTTTTTACTTCTAGAGTGTATCTGTTCTTTAGAAAAGAGCAAATGTAAGAATCCCGTATTCTACATACTCTACAACTTTTGTCCCCTGCCCATCCATCTACTGTCACCACCAAATAAATCTAGATAGACAGATAAAATATAAATAAACATATAATGAACCTATTTGTTTAAACCATACAAGACTAAATGTTATGAAAACAGATAAACTGATAGACATGCAGGTTGTTGTGAGCAGCACCTATAGCAGCACCCTCCAAAGGAAGCCAGGAGTCGGCAGAATCTAGTTGTTGGTATTTTCATCATTAGAGAAGTGTAGTCTAGAAAAACTCATTGTGTGGACTTTCAGAAAGGAATTAGTACCAAATTAAAACAAAACAAATTTAAAAAACACAAAGGAAAAACAGAATCCAGAGTCTGTTTATGTAGCCCAACTCCTCCTCAGCATGGGGCCTGCCCTGTGTGTGCTTGATTTGGGAGGAGTTTGGGAAGGGAAACAAACGTGATTTTATATATATATATATTTATATATATATATATATATATATATATATATATATATATATATATAATTTTAAAAAGTCAGTGTATACAAAAAATGAATTAGTGTTATATACAAATAGCAAATAGTTTGGCTATATGTATTTGAAATGTTAATGTTGCCATACAAATCAAGGAAAAGTAAAGATTTTTTTTTAATAAAAGAGTATATATATTTCACAAGTTACATAAAAACTTCAGGACTCAAAGCTATGACCTACCATGCCAATTCCATTTGGGTGGTCTAGTCTCAGCCTGAAACTTTATTTGCTGTGATATATCATGTGGTTTTTATTTTACAACTGTAGCACTAACTTCCCTTGCTTTTGTTCCAAAACGAATTTCATGCTTAACTTGCTTTTCTTAATTAAACTTCCTTTAGCAGTTCCTAATATGTGTATTATTAAAACTCATTAGACCCATTCACACTTGCCTGTCATATGTGGCTCCACATTCATATATTGAAGTGCTTCAGATATAGCAAGAAAATTAAATAATAAAAACAGAGACTTGAACGTTTCATGAGTGTCAGGATGAGAGAGTGCCTGCAAGGCCCATAAGGTTTCACACAAAAGAGGCATTACTGCTGAATCTCACATGCTGACACATCCCTGATCTATAAACCCTGTGGTAATGGCAGCAGTAAAGTGCCCTTCCATTGAGGAGAATTTCTCTCTTACATGCAATGGAAATAGGCACAGAAGGGATTATATTGACTGCTATAAAAAGAATTCATATAAACCCCCCAAAGTTTAACGTCTAATAATTTCAAATGCCTGGAGTGATTTACTCGTTTTCTCTGACTTTAGTTAAGCTTTGACTTGGCAGTCTTTTTTTTCCCCTTCCAACAGATATGCTACTAAAAGAGAACATGGGCTTTTCTTTACCTTTCTCTTCTTTCCTCCCTTCCTCCCTCCCTTCCTTCCTCCCTTCCCCCCTCTCTCTCTTTTCTTTTTGTAGAGGATAGTAAAATATCCCACATTCTTTTATAGCAACATAATAATAACTGATATTAGTCAACATGGTTTGTCCCATCAGAACAAAAACACCTAAAACAACACGTTGCTATGAAAGAACCCTTCCTGGAGAGAGCGGGGAATGCTGCTATCTCATGGCCATCAAGTACTAGTTACGCCAAGCTCTTACAAATTACCTTTTAAGAAGTAAAGAAAAGTATAAAAGGATATTCTAGGTTCATTGAGGCGTTCATTAATTCCATCTTTATTTTTCTGGGCTTTGCAAATTTTAAAGATTAAACATTGAAATTTCAAATTCATGTAAAAGTAGGCTTTTTGTTGCACGTCCCATAAAGCAAAAGAGATATACGTTTTGTACTGCAGATAATATATGCTAAATTTCAATAATGCAGAAAAGGAAGATTTCCTCTTTCATTGAGCTTCCACTTAAAAGCTGGTAGACTTTCCTTTAAAGGGGGGGGCAATAACACTGAAGTAAATATGGTTAATCATCTCAAAACCATGGAAGCTGCAGCCAATACATCAGTAATTTCTGGATTTTTGGCTAGTTAGACAATGTGGAAGAAGATAGAAATTCCCAGAGGAATGCAATATCCATACTCACACCAGTAGCTTTGGAGAGTCCAATACTATGTCTTGCCACTTACATTAAGAACCATATTTGCAATTTTTAGCATGAATTGTGAACTTCTAACCCTTTAGTCCAAATTACAACTCTTGTGTCATTCTGATATAAAGTAAAAGGAACCACTCTAGGATACTGCGTTCCTTTGAATACTCATCACATGTGTGCTGGGGAAGATGGGCAACGTGTAGTTAACTGGCAAAGCGAACCCTGCAGTAACTCACCAGTTCAGTTAGTGGTCCACTCTACTTGTCAAACTACTTTGAGCTTGTGCTCCTTAACTGGTTGTGGCTGTGAATTCTGAAGTGTGGTGTGTGGTTCTCTATAGGCTCCTTCCTTTGCTATTGGTTGTCCAACACGGATGTACTCTTCACAGGTTCGTAAGACTTGCTGCGGAAACACCACCAACCCCCAAGCAGATGATACAATGAGAAGGTCACAGTTGGCACCTTCTCTTTCCCACCACCCAAAGAAAGCAGAATGAAGCCTTAGAAAATATCAGCTACTCTTCACAGGAAAAGATTCTCCAGCTACTCTAGAGCTCTGTTAGCTAACTCACCCTCATTGGCAGTCTGAGACACTCAATCATTAGTTCATTGGTTTCAGAATATGTAGATTAATCCTTCAAAGGACTCCCATGTTATATTTCAAATTTTTAATTTACTTTATGTCAATAATTGTAGTCTTTCTGAGTTAGCCTCAAGAGAGAAATATTAGCCCATCTACCACTTAACGTGCTTTATTTATTTGTATTATCAATTAATATTATTCATATTGATTAAATCAGATGTTAAATATTCCTGGGCTGTGTGGCTAGGAGCAGTGGCTAGAATGTACCAACACACAGAACACCCATTCTTCTCCCTCCAAGGCACACAAACCACGTGATGGAGAAGCATGAAAAAGAGGCAGAGCCAGCCCCTGAGGTGGCTGCAGAAAACGAATGCGCTTGTAGAAACTCTTCCTTGTGGATCTTTTATTTTAGAAAGGTTTACTCAAAGCCCACAGAAGCAAGAAACAGCCAAGTTTCCACTTTAAAATTCCTGGGACATAAAAGTTTTCAACTTGGCAACTGAATCTTAAAAATACAAATTTCAAATGCTAGCTTCGGAATTCAATTTAAACACAGAGACAAATCCAGGAGGGAAGTTGGGAAGACTCCTCTTTCCATAGCCAGAACGCATGGAGGACTTGAAGTTTGTCAAATAAATATTGGAGGAGATGAACTCAGATGACACTGAGGCGTGGTCTCTGGTGAGTCCAGACTTTAAGGAGTCTTTAATGTTAAAACTATAGTAGTATCTGCACACATTTCACCCTCTATCAACACAAATCCTGGGGAAATAATGCTTTCTTTGGGAGATTAAAATACACCAGATGCAGCATTTTTTCCTGACAATTACCTATCTTCATTTTATTTCAGAGCATTTGAGTGCTTGATGAAAGCAAATGCATTGGCCTTAAATAGAAAAAGGCCAACTGAAAGACACTGAAGTGTGAAGGGGTGTGAGGGGGTTTCGTCTTTCTAAGCCACCTATAGACACTTCTATACATTCATAAATACTTGCATAGTATATATTATTATCTAAATATAATTTGCTGGAGCTATGTGGACCTCAAACTTGGGCGAGAATAATGTCCTTTTCCGGATTCCAAAGCAACTTTTACTTTCCTAAGTCAATTAATATTTACACATTTGAAAGATTAATTCTAATTACCTCTGGCAAAATCGATTTCCTTCTGAGAGCACAGTTTTTTTTTTTGTTTGTTTTGTTTTTCTTGAGAGCCACAAAATTTCTTTAACTGAAAAAAAAATGTTTTAACCTAAATTCAGCTACAAGAAAATCTCTAGAAACACAAGCGCTCACAGCTCACTGGGAAAGAAAAGCCCAGAGTCAGGAGCAGGGCAAGGCAGGCTGGAATCAGAAATGCAGCTGGCTGCCTGGTGCTTTCGCTAGGCTGGGCCCCGGGCTGAAACGCTGCAAAGAGGCCCATCTAACTCAAGAAAGTTAAGTCTGACTGTATTATGCAAAGTCCTACAAGGAAGTCACGAGATAACCTGTGTGGCAGAATCCCACTTCTTTCTCCTGGATCAGATGCAGTAACTGTAACCCTTTAGTGTCTGAGAGAAGGGGGAAATGGGGAAGGGCACAGAGAAACAGAGGGAGGGAATATCGGAGCTTGTGAATAAGACCATCCTCCCGCTGACCGCATCCCCAGCGAAATTCCTCAGGAAGCTTAGACAGCGGGGGAAACTGGGCCGAGGCAGCGCGACGTGGACCGGAGCTCTCCCCCACCCCTGAGCAGGATTTTCTAAAGCACTGGCTGCCTCCTCTCCTTAAAGTATCCCTAGGAGAAAAATCACCGGTCCAAGAGGGAATCTCACAGCTGAGAGATTTTTTTTCCCCCAAAGCAAAGTTGGGGGGCAGGAGGCTGCTTGGCTTCCTTACTGACGCCACAAAACCCAGGTTTTGAAGCTCGGTGCGGGCGAAGCGGTCGCGATGCCTGGGAGGTGCGCGAGGTGGGCTGCCAGCCTGCTCGCCCCATTTCTCCGGCACCGAGTCCGCAACCCCTCCCGCTCAGTGGTACCCAGACCCTGGTACCCAGACCCGTAGCCCTCTTAGCCCTCTCCCAAGGAAAGAGCCACAAACTTACCCTCGGCAAGACACGTCCACGGAGGGAGCCCCCTCATCTTCCCCCGGTCCTTTCAATTATTCAAGGAGACAGTTTTAACAACACTTCGCCTTCAAATTCAAGCCGAAATGGTCCAAGTATTTACCAGCTGGTAGATGCTTTCTTTTCAACCTCAGGAACTGGGTAATTCTTGTTTCAGAATTCAAGACGCTTCCCTTATTTATTTATTTTTTTTCTTTAAGCAGCCGCAACCCCACTTCCACCTCCCCCTCCCTCTTTATTCACCCACGGACACTTCCTAAACGTGTGGATTGATGCTTTTTTTCTCTCCAGATGCTGCCAGAATCTAGAATCCTGGAGAACCAAAGCCGCATCCGTGTAATTCCGACCATCAGGCAAGAAAATACAAACGACCAAACAACGTTACTTCTTTGAGCTGAGATCAGATAATCCTACTAATCCAATAGATTTATCTCGATTGGAAATTGACCTCAAAAATGAATTCCCAGTGCTGGTTGGTGTCCAGTAGAACGATTCCGTAGCCTTATCCGGGTTACCAAGAGCTGTGGTTTCTTTCTTTCTTTTTTTTTTTAAATAAAATTCTTTTTGGATTCTGGGTGCACTGCTCGCAAAAAAATGCCGAGGACCCTGGTTTTCCCTAATACAGGTTTCTACTCCAAATCCGTGCGGAATGAAAAATGGTACAAAGGTTCCCCTAGTGGCTCCAGGCGATATTGCAGGGATTTCACTTTTTTCCTCCATCGCTTCACCTTTTCCACCCCCACCCCCCACCCAGCTCCCCTGGCTTCTGGGTATAACTTGCTGTTATAGTAGCCAGGGGGTTGAACCCGATTAATACTAGTAGAATAAAACTGCCTAAACACGTAGGGTGGCCTTTGGTTTGCACTGGAAGACTGAAGATCTGTGTTTCTGACTCCTCAGTATTTACATTCTTCCCCGATAGCATTTAGTAGCTAACATGCCAATTTGGAGAATCACTGTGATATCAAAGAAATGTATTTCCTAAATACCAGTAGTCAGTAGTTAGTGTATACACACACACACACACACACACACACACACACACACACACACACACACGCCCGGTCCTAGTCTTCCTGAAATTCGTTGTTTTCAGAAAACTGCTTAACATTTTGTTTCCTTTAAATATGTATGATAAAGGATATTATTTAGATGATGTTTTATCATTTTGAATTTTTAAACAATCTTCAATTACGTGTATTTATTTATTTACCTCTACATATGTATGTGTAAACCTGAACATCCAAGTGCACATGCCCAAGCATATGTGTGAAAGGCGGAGTACAACTTTGAGGAGTTAGTTCTCTCTAGCCTGGGGACCTGGGGGATTTCAGTCAGGTCTTCAGGTTTGGTGTCAGGCACTTTTACCCACTAAGCTCTCTTGCCAGCTCTCATTTTGAAATATTTTTAGATGAATTTTTATTATTTTAGTCATATGTACACATGTGTGCATGTGCTTATGTGTGTGCCACATGTGTGTGTAAGTGCCTACAGAGGGCGGGAGTTGTAACCCATAGAGTGGGCTGTTGTGAGCCATCCAGCATGGCTGCTGAAAACTGAACTTGAGTTCTTTGTAAAAGCAGTAAACACACTCAATTGTGGAATTATTTCTCCACCCCTCAGTGTGGACTTTTGATGTCTGTTCAGAAACGCAGGTTCCAGCCCTCGGAGTCTGCAGTGAAAGGGCAATGCCTAACCATCATGACTCAGGTCTCCATGTTGCTTCCTTGAAACCTTCAGAGTTCAGTGGCCTCTGCATCACTACTGGGAGTTCTGACAGGTTTCAAAGCAAAGGATCAATGCAGTGAAATTCAGGCCTGTTTTGCTAAGCAGTATTCCACATAGTCTCACAAACAATGTCTACCAATAAGCCAGCAATCTTTTTAAAATGAAGATTCTAGGACTTTAGGGCCGAGACTCTCCAATTTTAACAAGCCCTCTGAGAACACTTTGATTATCAAGGGCCTGGTAAAATACAGAAGTTGGATTCTCTTTCATGCTGATGGTTCTGTAGCTGCAAAAACTGGAAAATTTTTCTTAACCGACTAAATAATTAAGCCTTTAAGTGTATGAACTGCTAAAGAGTCAGGGGACACTCCTTCTACCACTGGCTTTGCTGTTAATTGGCTGTGTGACTTTGAGCAGTAACTTTTTGCCTATGGTTAACATATCTATTAAAGTTCAAAATGTATCAACGAATGCACATGGTCCTAGATGGAAGATTCAATATTGTAAATTAATTTGTAATACAAGTATAATAATTATTACAATATAGCTACAGTTTTTCATGGATCCTGAAGAGTTAATTCTGAAATATGTATGCAAAGGCAAAGGGTAAAAGAAAAATTGTTAAAAAAAAGTAAAAATAAAGACCCCAGATCAACATTCATGGAGTGTCAATGTGAACTATTAACTCTTAATCCAGAATGGCTGCAGTTAAGGTTCAGTCACAGAATCTAGTTCAGAGGAATAGGAAAGAACTCCCAGAAATCTTTGCATGCATTTTGGGAACGAGACCAATCCCAGGTGGCATTAGAAAGCAGTGAAGACATATGAACTGTTCAGATGCTGCATCATGATATGAAAAAGAAAAGATTAGATTTTAAATTCTTATCATACCTGAGTTTGTATTTGAGGTAGGGTAAAGGACAAAAACTTAAAAAAAACAGAAAGTACTTCTATATTTCTCATAAATGTATTTTAAACAATATGACAAGTCAAAATAGAGTATGAAGATGAAGAATCACTTGACTGGAGAGAAGTCTCACTGTCCAATAAGCATCTGAAAAGGGCACTCAGAGATCCCTGGTCATTAGAGGAATTCACAGCAAGATGATACGATGACACTTCACAGTAATGAAATTGGCTAAAATCACAAAACTAGTAGCACTGCATAGCGATGATGTGAAGAAACCATGGAGAATAAAACGGTGAAAGTTCAGAAGGTCCAGGAAGCAGCTAAGAAATCGTTAAATATTCTCGCAACCTACAAATTCATCTTTCCATTCTTAGAAATAGTCATTGTAGAATTGCTGAAAAGAACTAAAAAATATAAAGTCGAATTACCTGAGTCAACATGATATTAACTTGCTGTAATAGTACAGAGCATCCCAGAGAAAAATAAAAGTCCCTTTACATACTTGAGTTATCATGGATACATCTCAAAAGTACCACATAGACAAAAACATTGGGTGTTGCCTAAGATGTCTAATAGATATTAATTACTAAGTATTTAAGCATAATGGTACTGGAGAGATGAATCACTGGTTAACACCATTTGCTGCTTCTGAAAAGAAACTGGGTTCCAGTCTCAAAATTCACATGGCAGCTCATAACTATCCCTAACTCCAGCTTCAGAGGATCTGAGGACTTCTTCTGGCCCCCAGGGGCACCAGCCACATGTTGGGGAATATTATTTTGAGGTGTGTTACTTTTGTTTATGTTGTATTTGTTTAACTCTGTGAGGCTGTGGTACTTTGCCTGCCTAAAACACCGGATGGTCTAATAAAGAACTGAACAGCCAATGGTGAGCCAGGAGAAAGGAAAGGCGGGGCTGCCAGGCAGAAAGAATTAATAGAAAGAGAAATCTGTAAAGGGAAAAGAAGTAGCCAGAGAAGGAGGAGGACATCAGTGGCTAGAACCCCAGCTACACAGTGAGCGACAGAATAAGAGTGAAAGTAAGATTACAGAAGGAAGAAAAGAAAAAAGTCCAGAGGCAAAAGGTAGAAGGGGTAATTTAAAGTTAAGGAAAGTTAGCTAGAAACAATCCAAGCTAAGGCCAATCATTTGTAATTAGCAATAAGCCTCCATTTGTGATTTATTTGGGAGCTGGGTGGCAGGCCCCCCAAAAGAGCAAAACCCCAACAACAATCACCTATGTGGTACACAGACATACAAACATACATATATGCTGACAAAAACTTACACACATAAGAAATAAAAATAAATGAATTTTCAAATAATAAATAAATGAATTTTGAAAACATTTAAAAATTAGATCTATTTATCTGGGGAACATACAACCCTAGTTTATTATCTGAGTAAGATAACAAGCAAAACTCAGTGCCAAGATTACCTTTGAGAAGGACTGAGTTAATGGATTTGGCACCAGCACCCTTAGTACCCTCACCTGAATCCATGATACTTTATTTCACATGCTGTATCTTGAAGTACTCTTATATAAATTAATTCTCTACCTTAAATATTTTATTAATATAAAATACTTAGACTAGATAATTTCTATGAACCCTTATAGCATTATAAAAAATTTAATTATAAGTTAAAACTTTCAGAGGAAAATAGCTTAGTGATTTTTGAGTGCAAGGGTAGAAAATCATTTAGTGAAAAATAACATAAATATGAAACATAAGTCAACATAACTATAAAAATACAGTATGAGAGCTCAGAATGTTTTTTACTGAAAATAGATTTTTCTCTGATACAATACATCCCAACCACAGTTTCCCCTCCCTCCACTCCTCCTAATTCCACCCTACTCCCCCTCTCCCCCAGATCCACTTCGCTCTGTTGCTTCCTCTTCAGAAAAGAGCAGAGCTCTAAGAGACAACAGCCAAACAGGACAAAACAAGGTACAACAAGACAAGGCAAAGCCCTCAATAGAGCCTGGACAAGGCAGCCCAACGGGCAGCAAAAGAGCAGGCAGAGGAGTCAGAGATACACCCGGTCCCACTGTTAGAAGTCCCCAATAACACCAAGCCAGCAGCCATAACATATACACAGAGGACCTGGTGCAGACCCATGCAGGCGCATGCTTGCTGCTTCAGTCTCTGTGAGCCCACATGTGCCCCGCTTAGTTGCTTTGGAGCCATGTTCCCCTGATGCACTCCAACCCCTCTGACTCCTACAGTTTCCTCCCCCCTTCCTTCAGGTTCCCTGAGCTCCAAGAGGAGGAACCAGGTGGGAGACCTTCAATTTAGACTCCCTCCAAATAATGCCACGCTGTGGATCTCACCCCCTCCACTCCCACATGCTGCTGGAGGAAGCCTCTCTGATTATGACCACCCAAGGCACCAATCTAGGAGTATAGCAGAATATCATTAGGAATCATATCATTGTTTATTAATTTGTTTGTTTGTTCTTATTTATTTTTTCAAATCATGTTCTACCCTAGGTCTCTGAGCTATCTAGTCTCTGATTTCTGGCCATCCGGGCAGTGTACAGCATGGGCTCGCTCTCATGATGTGGGCCACAAGTTTAACCAAAGTTTGGTTATCAACTTGCACAAGTTCTGAGCCACCACTGCCCCAGTATATCTTGCAGGCAGGACAGATTGTAGGGTGAGGGTTTCATGGCTGATAGGGTGTCCAGGTTTCTCTTTCCATAGCCCATGGAGTACTTTCTCATGCCAAAGAGACTAGAATGCAGGGTAGAAAAAAATGCTACATGCAGGCACCAGCTCCACCTCTCCTAAGTTCAGTGAGCTCTGTCAATGTTGCCCTTGGCAATGGGGGCTTACTGTCAGTTTTTAGTGTCCTATCATCAGCCTGGTTGTTTAGGGACCTCCCCAGGACCTCCTTGGCCAATAACTCAACTGAATATCACCTAGTCCACTGCCAGAAACCTTACCTGACTACAGAAGATGGCCAGTTCAGACTTCCTATCCTCCAATTCTAGGAGTCCTTACTAGGGTCACCCTCACAGAATCTAGGAAATTTCCACTGCACTGGATTTACACTCCATTCCCCAAAAGCCCCCCAATTCCAGCTGTCTCTCCCCACTCTCTTCCTCCATTCTTCCTCCATCTGATCCCTCCCACTCCTGTCCCCACCTATCCCCAGTGCACCCTCAAAACCTATTCTATTTCCCCTTCCCAGGGGATCTATTCATCCCCCCTTGAGACCTCCTTTCAACCTAACCTCTCTGGGTCTGTGGACTGTAGCTTGATTATCATTTTCATTACAGCTAATATCTACTTATAAGGGAATACATACCGTATTTGTCTTTCTGGGTCTCAAGTTACCTCACTCAGGAAGATTTTTTTCTAGTTGCACTCATTTGCCTGCAAAGTTCATAATGCCATTTTTTTAAACAGGTGAGTAACACTTCATTGTGTAAATGTACCACATTTTCTTTATCCATTCTTCAATTGAAGGACATCTAGGTTGTTTTCAGTTCCTGGCTATTATGAATAAA